GGTACTAGAGTTCTCACTTACAGGGCATCAGAGAGCCCATCTACAGGGCATCAGAGAGCCCATCTACAGGGCATCAGAGAGCCCATCTACAGGGCATCAGTGAGCTCGGCCAACAGTGCAATAAAGAGTTCACCTATAGGCCTTCAGAGAGCTCACCTACAGGGTACTAGAGTTCTCACTTACAGGGCATCAGAGAGCCCATCTACAGGGCATCAGAGAGCCCATCTACAGGGCATCAGAGAGCCCACCTACAGGGCATCAGAGAGCCCATCTACAGGGCATCAGAGAGCCCACCTACAGGCTTAAGCTGCAGTGCTTTTTCTTCCTGGGCTTGAGAGCTATAATAGATTTAACTGACACTCACCTCGAAGTGGCCACTGCGACGGACGAAGGTGCAGGAGCAGAGCACCATGAGGCAGATGAGGAGCTGCAGCACGACGCCAGTGATGGAGGCTGTGCCACCCACCCAGCCAATGCCGGGTCGTGTGGTCAGCAGGTACTCCCACAGGTGGTAAGCGCCCTGGGCTTGGGTCATCCGCACTAGCAGAGACCATCAGAGAATAGCTTAGCTTAGCATAGCATAGTGTAGCTTAACACAGCATGGCATAGAAGAGCATAGCATAGCTCACTCGATGCAAAGCCCTACACAGCTGTTTTACATTGTTTTTCCTTACCTGATGCTCTAAAATTACTTATTTTTTAAGTCAGCTATATAGATGGATATTGACCTTCAGGGTATTTCTCAAAAGTACCACAGCTTCAAGATATGAGCCCCTTTGCTTTTAGCCATTACATCGCCTACTGGCCTTACAAATCAGGAGTAAAATTAATATTAAGGTAACAGAATACAGAGGTTTATAGATACATAGCTACTGTAGAGACGGTAGAGTGTTGCAATTAGATGTTGAAAATCAGATGACAGTGACACATAAGTGACACTAGGGTGCAAAAAATTAAGCAAAGCTGGCACCGTCGTATAGAGAGGTGAGCAAACATCACCTTCCACCTGACGGAGAACGTATGAAAATTCATTACCGAAGTTCATGAGGTGTGCCAGTGTGTGAACCAGGCTGAAGATCAGGATGGCGTAGCCCACCGTCTGATGCAGCAGGATGTTCTGGTCCAGGGGCAAGACCCGGACCACCCAGGTAGCCCTGAGCCAGGTGAGGCAGCGACGCAACATCAGCACCTGCACGCACAGTCGCCATGGCAACGCTGTGGCAAACAGGCTCCATATGGAACAGCCAACCCAAATAGTCTTTGCTGGAACATGTAGCACTCAATAAACACAGTCACCAAGAAACCGGGCAGATTTTACGTAACGCCAGTGTGACATAACAGTCCAGTTTCGATATTCAGTATTAATTCAAGCACAGCAACAGCTGTACAGGTGTTCACATATCTAGAACCATAAAATTGCTCACTCATCCTCCATTCCTTCATGAAACATTTCTTTCCCCAATGGTTTGTTTTTCTCCATTTTCGTGTACCATCCACAGAAAAACTGAGACTGGCAGCTCAAAAACACTGTCATATTCTCTCACTGTGATCATTGTCAAACTGTACTCTGCGCAGTTCGAGTGAGTTTGACAAGTGGGAAGGAGCTCGCTGGCCAGATCACACAATGAGAACGTCACACATCTGAGCCTCAGTTATTTATGATGCCCTAAAGCAACAGTCGTACAGTGTCTATGTCAAGACTCCTATTTCCAGTTTCCATTGGTGTCTTATAAAAACCAGGACACTGATGCCTTTTCTTAAAAATAACGCATACCGTAAAGTGACCTCACGTTAATTCCTTAGTGATTCAGTGAAAAAAGACAAGTATGCAGAAAACCTAGCAGGACAGGAAATGTGAAGCACTGGTTCCAGTGGAGCACAGAAGTCTTTCACTCACATTGGAAAATAGAGCAAGCTGTTTGGGTTCTGGTACGATGATGAATAATTGGATTGGATTGTAGCAAATGCACTAATAGGACACTGGCACCATTAGCTCAAAGCTGTAATCAGAGGCTGGATCTATATGTCAGAACATCCTTTGAATCCCATATTATCCGTTATTAAAATAGCCAGCTATCCTGCCAAAGAGGTCAGCTGTTAATCATAATGTATAAGACATTCCACATTTAATTTGCAGTCTGTGATTGAGCTCACAAGATTGTCATAACGGTCATATCATATTGCTTTCTAAGTAGTTTTATAAAAGAGATTACATTCACTAACAAATCATTTTAAATTACACCCCAGTCAGTGGGTTAATTTTCTTTGCAATGGGTAATGATTTGCAAAGAGGAAATGACAGATACACATAAAATTCTAATGGAGGCTTAGAGATTGTTATTGAACAAAAATGCAAAACAATTACAGTAAATGCAGTGAATCCCACTCCTACAGTTGCTGAAAAGATTGTTAAATGTAGAACAGTGTATTGTGCTTGAAGCCAGTCTGATTCACCCTGCTTATCAATACCTCTCTCTACTCCAATACCCTGTGTGCTGAGATAGGGGCAATGAAGCACAGTTTAGTTATATATAATCACAGAGGGCATGTGGCAAAGATATTTCCAGTAATATTCTGTAAATCAGACGTTAATTATCTTTCACCTGCTACTAGGTGTTGCTAATGGAAGAGTTCTTTCTGATGAAAATAGAACATGGAAGAATATCTATCCATTCATCTATTCTTCCATCCATCCATCCATGTATTCTTCTATCTCTTCCATATCACTAATCCAGTACAAGGTCATGGTGAGACCACACAGGAAGCAGAAGGACACGAGAATGTCCATCGAGTCGGACACCTACAGTTACTCACTATGGTTAATAGAGAGGTGGTGAATCACCTGACTGTAAACGCCTTTCATATTAGTGACTTTTAATGAAACCTGCTGCTGCACTCCACATGCTGAACCTGCAGGTGGCGCTCACCATGACAAAGGTGCAGTTGAAGTTGAGGCACTGCCCGCAGCCCTTGGCCACCATGAAGCAGGGCCCGCCGGCAGCGTGGCGCAGTGCGGCCAGAGTGAACAGCAGCACGTTCAGGCAGACGTAGCTGAACAGGAAGAGCAGCTTGCGGCTGTTGTTGTGCCAGTACGCTGGGGTGAGGTAGCGAGGTGTTTGCCGCTTCTTCTGCTCCATCACTGGTGGCTTCAGCCAGTTAGCAGCACTGGTGGGCAACATCATAACCACCAGGCAGGTAGAAAATCAAATAAGCCGAACAGTCTAAGAATTACTCTGGAAGAACATTCCAGAATCCAGTTAAATTACATTTGAGTTTAACTATTCGGATGTATCTGTGTGGGGCTGCACATGCACACATGTTCATATGAGCACCCACACCCGTGAAGACTGTCGAACCTGATGGTCAGGTTCTCCATAACTTCCGGAAAGCTCTCCAGCTCTGCCTTCAGCTCCTCGAAGGTGATGGAGCCACTGCTGTCCTTGTCGGCTGACTCAAACAGGGCAAGGGTCAGATCATCCAGCTTCTCCTCGGGGAGGGAAATGGCGCTCTCACGAAGGCAGGATTTGAGCACAGTGCGGAGTTCGTCAGGATCAATGGAGCCACTGCCTACAGGGAAATGTGTTAACTCCACCTGATAGTGCTGTATGCAAGACACCGATTATTACAGGGAAATGT